AGATGAACATTTCGCAGTTAATTAATCGCGAAGTCACCGATTCCCTCATATATTCAGACCAAAATTTCGCAGTTAATTAATCGCGAAGTCACTGATTCCCTAACATCTTCAGACGAACATTTCGCCGTTAATTAATCGCGAAGTCACTGATTCCCTACTATATTGAGACAAACATTTCGCAGTTATTATTAATTGCGAAGTCACCAATTCCCTCGTATAATCAGACGAACATTTCGCAGTTAATTAATCGCGAAGTCACCGATTCCCTAACATATTCAGACGAACATTTTGCCGTAAATTAATTGCAAAGTCACTGATTCCCTACTATATTCAGATGAACATTTCACAGTTAATTAATCGCAAAGTCACCGATTCCCTCATATATTCAGACAAACATTTCGCAGTTCATTAATCACGAAGTCACCGATTCCCTCATATATTTAGACGAACGTTTCGCAGTTAATTAATCGCGAAGTCACTGATTCCCTCATATATTAAGACGAACATTTCGCAGTTTATTAATCGCAAAGTCACCGATTCCCTTATATATTTAGATGAACATTTCGCAGTTAATTAATCGCAAAGTCACTGATTCCCTTATATGCATATATGTACAAAGCGAATAATGCGAGGTTAGTTAACAGTGCAATTTGGGTCTGTTATATTACAAATCAAAATATTTTCAAAAATATACAGAGATGTTTTTTGTGCAAATTTTCATAATTTCTCTATAGATATAATTAATTACAAATTTTTTACTTACATTAATTCCCATTCTATCTGAAGATTAAGAAATTTTGATCGGAATGTGGCCGCCAAAACAGCATAAGACAGTCGTTGGTAAGACAGTACTCAGGAAAACGTTGAGAGGTTTCCAGCAATGCTATCCTTTTAAAAATCCGGTAGGCCATAGGGTAGGCCACAGGGTAGGCCATAGGGTAGGCCACAGGGTAGGCCACAGGGTAGGCCACGGCCTAGGCCAGGTTTTGACCACACCTCTGGGCAAGCAAAACTTAAGGGTTACTTGCCCAACGGGCAAGGTGTCATTCAAATATTTTTCGAGCCCTGAAAGTACAAACCCATTATTGTGAAATGAGGGGGGGCACTGAAAAGGATATTAAGGATATCAAGGGCCTCTTCATCACAAGGAGGTGCTTGGGAGCTAATTGGTGAAGGCACTAGGGTATGTGTTCAAATCAAAAAGTGGAGCACCCAATTTAAAAATACCTAGACTCTACCATAATTTGATAGTAAAACTAACAAATGGACAATTGGTCCTTTGTCAAATTTGCTCAAAAGTTTGTGATTTGTTCGTTAAATGTAATTAAAATCAAATCGAAGTCTGGATCCTTCAGTGTGGCCATTTTGTTGTTTTACTTCTGTCCATACATTTTCCTGAATGGCAAAGTCCCACACAGGGGCAGTAACAGTTTGACATTTTGGTTTCAGTCAACTTTGTACAAACTAGTTCCAGAACTAGAATGCAATGTTACTAAAGATAACTTAACAACAGCTTTTGACTGGGACTCAAATTGCAACGACTTAATTGCAAGGCATATGAGTAACACCAGTAATTGAACCTTAATGAAAAACTCCTTATATTCCAGAAACTTTATACAATTGATAGAGACTGTTATTTAAGTTCATCTGAATATAGATGATTGATAGTATTTTTAATGGACTGGATTCTTTCAGACTGGTAATGGCCTATGCTCAGCCAAAAGAGGTTGCCAAACAGCTGTGTTGCGCTATCTGTCTGGAACAATTCAAAGAACCAAAAGTGCTACCATGCCTGCACACCTACTGTAAAGGGTGCCTTGTGAAATTACTGAAATATCCTGATCATATAGTAACCTGCCCAGAGTGCCGACAGGATGTAAAAGTGAGTTCAAGATTTCAACAGAACGCTTTCATCCTATATAAATATCAATTCTCCATACTGTTTGCCACACCTTTCTTAAAATTTTATATCTGAGAATTTGGTGTCAAATCAAAGAATATTCCCCAAAAAATATTTTTGAGAGGACTGAGACCCCATGGCTGCGGGGTGTTGAGTGTTCAGTGCAGCCATGTCATGATAGGGTAAAATTGAGAATGAGAACACCTGCCAAACAGGTTACGCTTGAAGGTTAGAATTGCCCACCTTCAAGTTAGGGTGACAGTGCAGAGGGTTTCTTATTGATAGGCCTACACCATGATGCAGCTCAGTGATCAGCTTATTAAAGGCTAGGCACTGAGAGCTGTGTGTCTGAAACATGGGATGGGAAGGGTAGATTTTGAACTTTTCATTCTGTTTTTGTGTGCTCATCGGTTGTAAAGGGGCTTTTTCATTGCCCATGGTCACATGCTGTTTGCCTGACTTGCAGGCTTACACCCTGCTACACCTTAGCCAGTGGGCTAAGACTGGACAGCTGGAGGGTTGTTTTATTGCCTGCAAAAGGAGGCCAAGCCACATATTGTGTTGAGATGAATGAGTGAGTGAGTGTAACTATGGAATTCCCAATTTTGACCCGTTGTTTCCAGTGCTACTTATGTATGTTTGGGAGTATCTTAATAGTTCAACATTCACAGTTGCTAGGCAGCTTAGTTCTCTCCTTTTGTAATCTCTGGATTAGAACCACAAGCAAATTATGTTTTCAGTTCTTGTTGTGACAGAATGGAAGACAGCAGTAAATGATATACCTTTTTTAAAAAGGTTTTCCCTGCAGAAATACATGTATCTCGTTAGATGTGATCCACACATCATTTGAGCTTAGAGGAAATTTGTTTTCTTATAAAAGAGAGCATTTTGCCATTTGAATTAGGGACTTATGCTGACAAGAGCCATTAAATTTGTGAAGCAAGTAAGCTGGGACATAAGATACCTTTATAGAATGTCCTGAAAGACAGAATGCCTTTTTCTATGAAACAGATGTCTCAAAAAATTGAATTGCAATAAAATAGGAAAATTATTTATAAGTTAAAAAAAGTATAGGTATTCATTATTGGAGCCTAGGGGATAGGGGATTATTGGAACCCAAGTGATAAGGGGAATCAAGAGACTTTCAAGCTAGCCCCTTTAAGGTATCATAACTTTACTATTGTTATCTTTATTTTTATTGTTGATATTATTATTTGTTACCATTTCATAATGAGTTGAATGTCATGTAAACAATATTCATGAATTATCTTTCTCTTGTAGAACAGGGTACTCCTTACCAGGGTTTTCAAATTGAAAAAAAGTAGCAGGAGGAAATTGTAAAGTAAACTATTTCATTAATTGTGATAACGGTGGCCTTTATTTTTTCCAGTGCTGTATTGCACTTGTAATTGGCAGTCAGGCTTTAACTCTGTCACAACTCAACCAGTGGGCTAAGACCAAATGGGGCTCTTAAAGTGTTAGAAACTAAATGGAATTGACACTGCAAACACATGTTCATTAGCTATGATAAGGTGTCTGCCTGAAGGTGGGCATCATCCACCTTCAAGGTAGTGTTTCTGCCTGAAATGCATGGAGTTTAACATTAAGGCTAGCACCCACATGCAACCAAGGGACTGGCCCACTAGAGGGTGGGCATTAACAGCTGTGCATCTAAATCCCAGGAGTGGGGAAAGGAAAACCTAAATACCAATAATCCAACAGATTCACTACTCTTCTTGATTCTTAAAAAATGAAACAAGCTTCCCCCTGCACTACTGTGCTGTGCCAAGGTCTTTCGCATTTAGTTGAAAATTTCAAACAAACCAACTAATGCAGGGTTACCATTTAGCCTTTTACCACAAAAAGAATACCCCCAGTCCTTTCTTACAAGCCACTAAGCCATTCATAGTAGTCAAATGACATGATAATGACTATCTATAGAGATATATTTAATTGTGAGTGAATTGACCGAAAAGAAAAAAAAACCCAAGACATCAGCACTCGAAGTCAGTTTTGAAGCACATACCTTTGAGAATTCAAAAACGATGGCTTGAGGGTGGGCAGAGTGATGCCCAGCTTTCAAGCAAAAACCCTAGCCAGCAGTTTTTTGCAGTCTCAATTGAACCCCCTCCCCATTCCCCTGCTTTTTACACTTGAGGACCCCTCAGTCATGGAGTGTTCAGCCAATGGCTGGGGTGTAACAGGGTACAAGTGTTACTACTAATCCCACCAAACAGCGTGCTACCAAGATAAGTAGGGCAATCCAGAATAACTCAAGTTGGCCGATGAGTCCAAAGACCTACTTTTCCGTCCCCACCCCTGAGCTCCTTTTGGACTGCAAGGGTGTTTGCCTTAGTCATTCCCCAGCTTCAAGCCAGCCTAGCTGATTAAAATGTAGGGGGGCTGAATGTCAAGGATAGCACCTGCATGCAGCTCGGCCACTGGTCTATTCAGGGGTTTGTTGCAAATTCCTCTGTGCCTAAAGGTCAGGGGTGGAGAGGGTAGGTGGGGGGGGGGGCTTGTTTTTTGGATAAAAGTGTACAGAAGGGTAAAGTTATTTACAGCTTTTCCTTTTTTTCTTTGGACTGTGTTCCACGATTCTTGGTCAGACTCATGCATTGTGGCAACTCAGTTAGTAGACTAAATCATCATGGGGGTGTAAGATCTTAGTGTGGGAAGTGTATTCAGTCATCAATTAGGGTGTCTCTTTTGTGTTGTTGCTGTTTGTCGTCGTCTATTTGTGTTTTTCACCGGTTAGTTAGCTTCTGTTGTTTTCCATATCGCATACTTTCGTTTATAATTGTTTGTTTCGCAATTATCGGTGTCAATTGCACTTTCAGTCAGTCGTTTTCACATGCATTGATTTTAGTTTTTCGTGTATATACAAACTTAGTTTTCTCTGTTCAGGGCCTTTCTTTTTCGGTAGTCACTTTAGTCGCAGTTCGCTTTAAAGCGGTTGTTTTATTCTTTATTTCGTCTTCGGACAGTGTTTTTTCGTTAAGCGCAGTTTTACAGTGATCATAAAAAGTAAGTATTATCGTTTCAAGTTGGCTCGATGTATATCTCTCCTATCACTTTTACTTAATCAATTGTTGTAATTTTGTATTTATTTATTTATTACTTAAAAGTTTCAACCCACATCGTTCACCGTCAATAAATCGTCTTTTTTATCAGTAATTGTGGTGTTGAGAAGTTACGATTGCCACAGGGGGAATTTTCAACTTGCGTGCTTGGCCTTGACTCTGCTGTTTTCTTGGTACGTTTTGGTGAATTCACTCAGAATAACACATATAGTGGCACTTTTGCACATATTGTAGCATAATATTTGAACCTTGACTTGGACAAGAATCATTAAGGAAATGCATATAAAGTTTGGAACATTTTTACTGTTATATTTTCTTAAATAATTCTCTGTCAGCTTAAAGAGTAGTGTGTCGCTAACACCAATCAGATTGCTGCATTTTTCATGTGTTACAAACCAATCAGATTGCCGCATTAGGTTAGTATCTCGCACCAATCAGACCACAGCATAGGGGTACGCTTACATCAATCAGAATGCTGTCCTTCGTACTGATCATGTTAAGATATTATGATTCCAATCAAACATTGACGCACACTAAGAATGACATTAAATAGAATTGTAAGCTCATCTACCGAGTGGAATGGTTCATGTACTTCGTGAGGAATCTTTTCGCTATGATCTTTTAGAGTTAGTAAGGTCGTTAGGGAATTTTTTTACCATGTGCAAGTTAAAACGTGTTTTGTGTACCGCTCCTTCGTTTACAGCGCACACACCGTCCGCTAAAGGCCTAACACGAATTTATCACCCGAGCTTTTTGATTTGGAAGGTCTTGCTTTGCCGACTCGGGTAAAATTTGCGCAAAGCATTTGCATAAATATTTGATTTATAATCCTGTTGTTTGCCTTGTGGTTGCTCTTTTTGCAAAGACTGAAAAGACCACCAAGTTATGTTTACCTAATGCCTCGACTGCCATGTTAAATATCCTAACTGAATAACTAAAACTTTGTCTCTAACAAAGCAACGGCAGTAAGCATTGTCATAGCCTACGAGAAGGTGGTTGTTTGATGTCGTCACGCGACGTGGGAGAGAGAGCGTTGCGTGACGAGACCGTCTTAGGGCTTTGGAAGAGACTGCAGGAAGCGTGATACCAATGCAGTTTATTTTTGTCAACAATTATTCAGACAACAGTGGCAATAGACCATAAAATAGGTGTGTCTGAGTTTATTTCAGATAAATGGGAAGGGTTTTTTTTTGCTCTCTAGCGAACGATATTCTCAGTGGAATCTTTTGAAGTAATGCTCTCTTTCATTTTCAAAAATGCAAACAGTTACTTGGTGTCCCAGTTCGACCCGCATATCCAAAAAGTAACTCGTTTGAAAATTGTGTCTGTAAACTGCATTTACTGATAGAAGCATTGTAGAAATCACCGAATTCATTACTATTCATGCCATTTATAATTGTTACTATTAGTAAGAAAGCTTCTTATGTCCTCAATTAGATTACTGAAGGAGATGTTGAGAAGCTACAGTCAAATTTCTGGGTAAACAATTTTATGACCCTGCTAAGCATGCAGGACAGCAACATGGCTTCATCCCAAAACACATTGCTCTGTGATCACTGTGACAGTGGCGATCCAGCCGTCTCACGCTGCACCAACTGCTGTGTTTTCATGTGCGAGTTCTGTGTTACTGCACATAAAAGGATCACTGCAACAAGGAGTCACGAGATCTTTTCCCTGCAGGAAGTCAGAAAAGTTGGCTCGAAGGCCCTTGTCAAGCCAGCATTCTGTGAAAAGCATAGTGGGGAGCTACTCAAGCTCTTTTGCCAAACTTGCCAGAAAACAATCTGCCGAGACTGCACCATTGTCGATCACCGAGAACATAAATACGACTTTGTGGCTGATATTGCTGAAAAAGAAAAAAGTTCTGTGCGAGCTATTCTTGAGAAATGCATAACCAAAGAAAGAGCAGTTGCTGAAGCTCTGAAAGCAGTACAGAACATGAAAAGCTGTGTCCTAACTAAAATCTCAGAGGTAAACCAACAGGTAGATAATTTTATCGATAGGCAAGCGAAAATATTAGAGAATCACCGTGCAAAGCTGAAATTTGAAGCCATAACACAAGGCCGTGTTACAGTCAAGCAGCTTGACAATCAGGCAGACGGTCTCTCCTCCCTTTTGGCCCAGTTAAGAAGTGGCATTGATTTCACCAACCAGACCATAGCAGATGGAGACGACATAAAGCTCTTGTCTCTGAAGACACAACTTGTCCAGCGACTTTCCCAGCTTAATTCTTCACAAGACCAGTTGACACCTTGTCAGATTGATACTATAAAGCTTAAAGTGAAAAGGTCGATTGATGATGAGGGGGAATTAGCAGAAGTAAGGTACCAACAGTGTGACCCCCAGAGGTGCACCATCAGCATGAATGGGAGCGAAGGAGTTCTCTATCAGACCAGAAATAATGAAAATGTGCATTTCATACTAATCATCAAGGATGAAACGGGTGATAGAGTTACAGGAGGAGGACACAGAGTGAGCGTTCATGTTCAATTTGAACCTACCTCCGGTTACGAGGATGAAACGTCTGGATTAGTTGGGGACTACTGTTCAGCCAGTCACAATGTATCACCTTCCCCGATGCCTCCGCAAGCATTCTCTCCAGTCGGACTGTATCCATCACCCCGCTCGGTGGCTCATTATCAGCGTGGATACTCGTTAGTCGATTCTCAAAAAGCACCCCCTATTAGACGTAATGCATCACCCCACTCGTTGGGTCTTGATCGGTGGGGATACTCGTCAGTCGAAACCTCTGCACAACCCCGCAGGGGAATTATGCAACCACAGTTTTCAGCCAGACACAAGGGATCGCCAAGCCTGATGGATCGCAAAGTACCCGTTTTAGATAGAGGTAAAGCAATACCCTCCTTGGTGGCTTATGGTCAGTATGGTCAGGTAGAATCATACTCTTCATTCGGGCATCAACCAGCACCCGTTATTAATAGATGTAAGGCATCACCCCGCTCGGTGGCTCGTGATCAGGTAGGATACTTGCCAGTCAAAACCTTTTCACAATCCCCCCAGGCAAATCAACAAGCACAGTTTTCAGCCAGACAAAATGCATCTCTCTCCTGGGCGGAACAGCGAGTACAAGTAACATACGGAGCCATTCCATCACCCAGCCAGGCGGATCAGCAAGCACTTACAGTGCAAGATAATGGTGATGGATCATATACTTTCGATTATTTCCCGAAATTGCCTGGAGCTTGTAGTCTTTCAGTTATGGTTGAGGGTCAACCCATAAACGGAAGTCCATTTAACTGGCAAGTCTACACAGAGGAGGATTATTTGGAATGGTAACCGGCAAAGTCGCCCGAAACCTGAGTCATGTTGCCCGAAATTTTTTAGTCATGTCGCCCGAAAAAAAAGTTAAGTCGCCTAAAGAAACAAATACCTAAAAGATCAGACTTACAGTCTGTAAATAGGCAGTAAAGTTGAGAAATCTTTACAGCTGAAGCGCAACAACACCATGAAGATTCAACGGTAGGACTATCGGGTGACTCGACTGTAAACCATTTCGAATACTTAAGCGAAAAGGAATCGGGCTAAAAGATAACTCGCTGAGGCTTATTTAAAACAATCAGAAACCTACACTTTCGCATTGTTTAGGGGCTCTGAAGTATGACAGCTTTTTTTATGGTGGGTCGCGAGTATCTGTTACTTCGTACGTAGAACTTAAACATCGAAAGTGGTAGGAGGCATGATTGACAATTTTTTGCCAGAACAATTTTCCTGAATTATTAGAAAAAAAAGGAACTAGCGAGATATTTTATAACACAGTTTCATTTCTTTCCTCCAAATTTGTTTCGCGATCTGAACTGTCAGTAATATAAAAATGCTTGTTTTGTGGAAGAGAGGATGAAGTCACCAACATACAAAACATATAAGTACATGTATTGTTAACAAAGTCCGTCGTCGATTTACTGTAAGAGAGGTTTTGTGATTGGACGCGTTTAGTCCGCCTAACGAAGATGCGGAAACGTGCTGTTGGGTAGAAAGAATTAAATATGGACATATTACAATTAGGTTGGCTTGGGATTTTACTGCTCTCGTGGTGGTAGGAAAAATACTAGACATTGGTGAGATCGTCGACATCACTGCCTTTTACAAAATACATTTCGTTTGGTGAGCAAGGAGACCAAAATAAATTAATTTAAGTTACGTTGTCTGGGTAGATACCCACATAGAGAGATCATACAGATAAAGCATTGATGTGTAGTTATTTTTTGGCTCAATTGCAGTACACTCAGCCCACTCATTTGCATATTTCGGCAGCCTTTGAAGAACCAGTCATGAAAGAGTAGACATGAGAGAGGCTCTTGTTTAATGCCCATGATAGGCTGGGTAAACTGGAATTTGGCCGAAAAATTACTCTACATTAATTCTTTTCTCTATGGGAGTATCCACCCTGACCCCTGATAATAGGCCATTTTACAGTTGTGTACTTAGTTGCCAAGCCTTTGATTCAGAGTGAGGCTGAAGGTGACCTTGTTGTGATAGAGACCTGTATCTAGTTAGCATGATAACAAAGTGATTTACGTTTGAAAGGT